CCATCGACTGGCGTCCAACATATTTAACATTTCAATTAAAAATAATCCTATTCTTCATTCTAAATTTTTCCCCGAACGTCACAACTATCTTTATATTATTTTAATACGTGGCACCTAACAAACATAATTTTCCATTTTAAGAAAATGAAAAAAATAAAAACTTCAANTAATCTTACTATACAATCCAGCAAAAAGTCTTTTGCAAATTCCTCGCCTTCCTCCACCTCGGGCACCAAGGGCACAGTAATCAGCCAACGAGTAACTTCCTTTATACACCTCGTTCAATACAATAGTTACAGCACTCCTCCAATCGAAACCGTTTCCATCTTTAGTCATCATTTCTACATAAGTAACGAGATTTTTTTTCAGATAAAATCCACACCTCTCAGCTATTTCAACCTAAAATATTAAAAATAATATCATTCGTGGCAAAGCCATGGGTTTGTGGATTCAAAGGCCTGAATATTATTAATTAACCGAACAATCAAAATTNCAAAAGTGATCAAATTTTCAGTCAAATGAAAAATTACACGCTGGATCGTTCGTCGATAATTGTTGGAATATGCCATACATAAATTGCAATAGTTGGTGATTNCACTCCTCCAATCGAAGCCGTTTCCATCTTTAGTCATAATTTCTACACAAGTAACGAGATTTTTTTTCAGATAAAATCCACACCTCTCAGCTATTTCAACCTAAAATATTAAAAATAATATCATTCGTGGCAAAGCCATGGGTTTGTGGATTCAAAGGCCTGAATATTATTAATTAACCGAACAATCAAAATTAATCTCATTATAGATGGATGGCTAAATCAATTTTCCAATTCTAAGATATTAATTATTAATTTTGTAATTGCCAACCCTTTATTCTTAAGTAAGTATTGAACGAAGGTCCATTGGTATCAAAACTGTGAAGTGCCAATTAAAAAATGATTTGCTTTAGAATGGTAGTTTTTAATCTTNACTTAGAAAAATTTTTGCAGATATTTTTTCTTCAGAAAAGGTCTTTTACAATAAAAAAAACAAGACTTTGCTCATTTCCTATTGCAAACATGGGACAAGTCATTTGTTCTCTAATCAATCTCTCCTCTTACCTTGTCTTCACCGGACTTATAAAATTCTTCAGGCAGTGGTGGGGGTGTGAACATTTCGTTTCCTCTAGCACTATTCGTTTTTTCGCAATTGTACGTCAATGCCTTCAGAAGTATTTTTTGACACATTACCCATCCTCTCGGAACTGCAAATTAGTATATTTCGTAACGAGTGCAAAAAAGTGTTTTTTGGACTCGTTACGAAATATACTATTAAATATTTAACGTCGCAAATCACGTACAAATTCAAGTTTCAAAAGAAAAAATTTTGAAGTTTGAGAACTCNATATTTTTCATCACAATGTGCCGGAAAGTGCACTTTTCGTCACAGCGTGGTGAAAATAATATTTTTCACTCGCCTTCGGCTCGTGATATAAACCTCCCACTCGCCAAAAAACACTTTTTTGGACTCGTTACGAAATATACTATTAAATATTGAACGTCGAAAATCACGTACAAATTCAAGTTTCAAAAGAAAAAGTTTTGAAGTTTGAGAACTCACTCGGATTTGGCAGCAACTTTGCGAGCCCTTGAGCTGCTTTGTCAATATTCTTGTTGTCAGAGGTTTCCATACAGACATTACTTTCAAGAGACTTCTCATCAGACGAATGAACCCCCTCTCCATCGCTATAATCGTCAGGCATATCAGAATCGTCTTGCGAACTAGATGATTCGGCTTTTTCAATACTCTGCGGCTGTACTGATGTAGCTGAGGTGGAAAAATTTGGCAGATCTCGTGTTTCATGCCGCTCTTCATTTTTATTTTCACCCTTGGCCTGATCTTCACAATTTTCTGAATTTTTATCAATTATTGATCCCAAAAACCCCATATGCTTCGGTGATTCAACAATCACATCTGTCTCTTGATTGAGGCTATTGGAGACGCTAGATAAGGGTGCGATATCTCGTGAGGTTCTGGGCAACTAAAAAACATGGCGGCGTAAGGGGTTTTGTTGACATATATATATGCACGTGTACGTTGACTGTAGGTTATGTTTTTTTTGTCCCAATTTTGATATTTTCAATATTGTATTGAATATTAATGGGTTTAATGGAAATGAATCCGAGTCATGAAAAGACTGGTGCTCATAAAAAAGTATTCAAGTGTTCTGTGAAAGGATGCACATCGATATCTTCTAATTCTGACGGAGTGAGTTATCATCGATTTCCAAAGAGCAATCGATTCTTTGTTAAAAGGTTGGATACTGGTGGAAAAATTGATATTGATCGTTACGAAGAATGGAAATCACGATGCAAAATTGATAAAGTAACCACAGCAACAAGGGTTTGCAGCTTGCACTTCGGACGAGAAGATTTTTCATTGCCAGGTATGTGGCTTTATCCGATTTATGGTTGGAGTTGAGTAAAACCTAATAGGAGTACATACTTCTTATTAATTCAGTAGTGAAGTGGTAGAAATTAACAAGTCGACTTGTTCCCTAATAGTTGAGTTTTTGAGAAATACCTCTGAAACTAAGAGAGATAGCCAAATTTTGATAAAGAACTTTTTTGTAGAGCAGGATGAGAGTTACAAAAAAGTCTACATAAAAATTTTGCTCTCTTAGATTCTGAGATACTACTCCAAAACTCACTCATTAGAGCTAAATCGACTCGTTACCCTTTTCCACTTGGCTACTGAATTCATATCAATGTCCTGTACATGATGAAGTTATTGATAGTGTTTGATATGATTCTAGATTTCGAGAGTAAACGATGTAGATTAAATCCATATGCAGTGCCGAGTCGAAATTTGCCTCACGATGATGAGGGTTTAGAAGCTGGTGAGATATCCCCCACCACGAACATTATAACCAATCGTGATAATGAGAGGGAAGAAGCTGATCATTCTCGTAGAACTCAAGAAAACCCCTCCAAGATTCAGGTTTGAATATTTTGAAGTATATTCGCGGATGAAAAAATTATCAAAAACAATCGTGTAGTCGGGTGGTACAACTTCCCCAGTCGATTCTTCATATTTTATCATCTATCAAAAATGATCATAAGCACGAGTGATTCTATGACGAAATGATGAGAGTTTTTTTCTAAAAATTTATTCAGCTACAAAAATTGTCGTTTGTCATTTCCTTCTAAAATCAATTGGTTATTAGAGAATTAGATTAATGGCCCATGAAAAGAGGGTTAAATTTGACATATGCTGGTTCACAGCAGAAAAAACTATGCATATTTTTATATGTTCCACACAATGTGAGAAAAATTATTTCTAATGAACTTTGATGTTTAATTGAACAATGTGTAAAAAAATTGTTGCTTGAAATTTGAGACAAATCTAGTTACAGGTGACGGATGTAGGAGAATTTTCCAATGTAGCAAGAAAATTGTCGGATAATTTTGAAGCTGTAGAGGAATTTGAGACTGTTTTTCTGAATTTGTCTTGTGGAAGTGAAGATTGTATTGATGGTGTGCCAACAGCTGACGTCGATGATAGATTTGTAGAGGAGGGATTAATAGAGATTGCGTAAAACGCAAAATCAACAGAAGATCTAGCATCGAATCACCGACATGAATCAACCCAAACCTTATCTGAAAGTTTACATACTGCAAAAGAAGATAAGAGTTCACAAACTTCATCATTCAAACAATTCACAGATAAAAGTGTTCAAGTTAAAAGTGGGGACATATTGACACCGTTCACATCGTGCATAATAACTGATCGTCACTTGAATGTTATATGTGGTATTCGAAAACATGCGATTCTCACGAAAATCGTATCATTAGTGTCTGAATTATATCCAGAAAGTAGGACTCGAAAAATGAGTTTGAAGGATCGTGTTATTTTAACTATAATGAAATTAAAACTGGATTTGACATTCTCTGCTCTATCTATTATGTTTAGATGTGTTGAAGAATCGATCTGCCGATACATTTTTCATGACACATTACGAAAACTAGCCCAAATACTTCGATGTGTGATTCGCTGGGTGCCTAAAGACGAAATTCAAAGGAATATTCCACAATGTTTTGAATATTTCAAGGACACTGTGGTTATAGTAGACTGTACTGAATTTAAAATTCAAAGACCGAAACGTTTACAATGCAGGATCAAGCTATATTCACAATATAAATCAAATTTCACAGCTAAATTCATGACAGGAATAACTCCAGGGGGCATGTTGACATTCCTGAGCAAAGGATATGGAGGCCGAGCATCTGACAAGACGATATTCGAGCAGAGCAACATTATTAATTTTCTAGAGAAGGATGATGCTGTTATGACAGATAAGGGTTTTCAGATTGAGGAAATTTGTATGAAACGAGGCGTTAAGTTATACATACCACCATTCTTAAAAAAGAAAAAGCAATTTTCTCCAGAGGAAGCTACTTATAATCGCTTCATTGCTGCAGCTCCAGTTCACGTAGAACGAATGAACCAAAGGATTAGAGAATTCGGGATCCTACAGAATCAGATCCCTTGGAATTTAGGCTCTCGTATTGACGATATTGTTATTGTATGTGCAGGGTTAGCGAATTTAGGAACACCAATTTTGGAGGTTGATAAATTTATTTAAAAACATAACTGAAATCAGATAACATGACAAAATATTTATGTAACTTGAAATCGAAATTATCATTTTTTATACGAATCTTGGAACTGCTTTTTTTTACATAAAACATGCAACATTTTTGTAAAATACACGTCTTTCAATTTAGCAAGTAAATCATTCACAAATCGTGCATTGTACTTCACTGTAACAACTTTGATATCATCCACTTTTTGACAATAAATTATTAAGTGACAAACAGGCAAATTTAGTAAAGCCATTCCCAATTGAATTTGACCTTGATACGTGTGTTTTTGTCTCAAGCTAATATTGTTATCGACCAACTCCAACCATTTGCAATATTTCAGTAACGATGCATCAGACAAATCAGTTAAATAATAACTACACTTAATTTCGATTAATACTGAAGGGATGTGCTTCCTAAAAACTACACCATCAGGACTATAGCCAAGCTAAGGATTATGATGAGAAATTAAGAGACCGAACTGATGGACATCTGCATGCTTCTTCAAAACATACAATTCACGCGCCCGAGGCTCATACTTATTTCCAAATTTAGTGTATTTATTAGAGATGGGTTTAGACCAAAAATACGAGCTTGCTTTAGACTCCCAATCTGACTTAGAATAAGTGAAAAGTGGATACCATCTACTGCCAGTCACTCTGAATTGTCTTTCTTTGTGCCACAACATTGCATCAGACTTGGTCGTGGTGGCAACATTGAGAGCATCACATTCACCTATCTTTGTGTTATACATTTGCAAACAGCATGCTTCGGTTGTGATGGGGAGGTGGAACACATAGAGCATAGCTTTCGAATGCAGAGCATTTTCTAGTAATGCTTTTGTAATCTGCAGATTTGGGGAAATACTGGGAGCTGGAGGTGCTGTGGGGCAGTCAAGTGAATCACGGATTTTAGAGGAGTCTGAATGTAAATTACGAACTTTATGTTCATAAATGATGCTGTGATCATCACACAGCAACAATTTATTGTAAATATCACAGGACAAAGGTGATGGGAATCCTTTCGAGTAACAGCAGAAAGTATTAAGAGGCAGGGGTTTGTAACGTTCTAAAGCATGCCCTTTCAATTTTTTCCAATTGCATTTCATGTCAGTGCTTGACACTGACTCTAAATTAGAAATATCATTCCTGTAGAAAGAGAAAAGAAAGATTAGGATGAAATAACATAAGATGAGTGCAGTGAATGAAAGAACCAGAATGAAAAGATCGACTCACTGACTACAATAAAGCAGCACTGCTACGATATGTTTACAGGTCCGCCCTAACCCCGCCTTGCAGCTGCATTTCATCTCTTTAATATCGACAATATTACTAGCAATATCATACATCTCGAGAACACCCTCAATTAGATGAGGATGATCGTTTATGGAACTAGATTGCATGCACAAACAATACAATGCCCATCGACTTTCCGCTTTCTCACTAACTCCACATAACATTAAATTACCAGAATTTAGAACTGCCTGACCTTCCACCATATTGCGAGAATCCAATGTGGCTTTAGCGTATTGATAAATTTTTTTCAACAGAATCGTCTTCATTTTTTAAGATTAATTAATTGAGCACCGGTCAGTTGTGATGAATCTCTTACCCACATGACATTTCTTTGAAATATGCGCCACGAACTAGAACCTCTATGGCAGCCATATTGAGCTCTTAACAGCGCCGCCATCGGTATTTAGCGTCCCCAATGGGTTTCAACTCCTAAAGAACGCTGTTCGATTGCTGAACTCTGTTGTGTCTTGAAAGGCGAAGTAGTTTTTGAGTTCCTGTTCTGAACAAATTCATCAATTCTGTAGGGGGGATTTCGAACTTTTTGCAAATCTGTGAATACCTTGTCCTGTGTATCATCACCAGTTTCAATCATAGGGAATTCTGAAGGAAGAGGTCGATAATTGCAATAATTCATATTATCCGGGTCAGCCTGCTGTGGTGGTGGATAGTGGTGACCATAATACCCCATCGACTGAAACGGATAAGCCTCTGATGATATAGAAGATTGTGACCAGGGATACGAAGTTGGATAAGCGTCCATAGGGTGACTGAATGATGGAAAAGGTGAAGTGGACCGCGAATGCTCCTGCCAAGGCGGTGCGGTACGACTAGAAAGGGGATTCCCGTGATTCTGAGAATTACAAGAACGACTGCCCTGACCTTGAACTCCACTCATGTTTCCGCTTTGTGACGGCCAATTTTTGCATGGTCTTTCATCTTGTCCATTTCTAACATATCTATAAGAATCTTGATTATCGCAATTTGAGGCTGTTGTCATCGTCGCGGGATGAATTTGAGATTTCTGTGGAGGGCATTTGTCAGGATGATATTTCGAACTCTTGGACTTCACGTTTCGTTTTTTACCACATGAGGTGTACTTGTGGTGAGCATCCAGACTGGAAGCACTTCTTTGAAAGAAGCGTTCCTTCAATACATGTGGTGATTGAGATGGCATCAATATCTGGGACTGAGAAGCTGAATATTGATGAGATGAAGTCATAGTTGTTGATGCTACTGGTGCTGATCGACAGCTGTCAACTTTGTGGACATTAAAATTATTCCTTCCAGGCTGAGGGTATCTACCTCTATTTTCATCGCTATTTTTGCCCTCTGTATCATCTTTACGAAGCTTTTTGATGAGTGGAGCATCATCAGTTGTAAAAATTGGCAAATCATTCAGGATCGTGGTAGCAATCTTTCTCTGGTTTGATTTTCTTATGGTTCGAACCAATTTTTCCTGATGAGACCGTTCTTGCTGATCAGAAATTGTTGCACTGGAGAATAATTTAGTAGAAGAATCTTTAATTGCTCCATCCTCAGCCAAGAATAATTTTTCTAGTTCGTCTCGATTTTCTAAAAAATTCCCCCAACACAAATTAATTGTTCATTAAAATATATCGAAATTAAGATGACACAATCGGTTGAGGAATTTAACAATTTTTTTTGTACTTAAGATGTTCCAGAATTTTCTTCTAACATTTTTCTATTAATATATTCATCACACATATTTACCGGACACATGTGAAATGACAAGAAATCTTCCATATGTCAGAGCCGATGATAGCCGGATTTTCATCAATTTTATGACAACTGATGAAAACGTTGTGTAGAAAAATGGAATTGTATCATGTTTTTGGTTTAAAATAACTCCTTTAGAACTTTTTCCACAAAAGAATTTGTCCAATATATTGAAATCTTGTACATCATACTAGTAAAAATCATGAAAAGATGTGAACAATTTCCGACAAATAAATGTTATGCACATAATTCTGATTTGCTTCTGAAGACGGCTGCGGAACGTTTATAATTTTTTTTTGCATTTTTCTTTCCAATGATTCCTTGTTGAGATAAATTAAATGAAAAGCAAAAAGATTAAAACACATGTACATACCTGAAATGCGGATGACTTTGCCACTGTGGAAAGATGTGTTATTCTTGTCATCCTGCCACTTCAATGTCGTAACGCAGCCCTCACTTTGGTCTGCTTTTTTTATTTTGTTTAGTTCAATTACATTGCTATCGTGAGTTTCAATCCACCAAATTAGTGCCCACTTTTTCTTCGATCTTGGCATTCTCGAAACTTCTATACACTGGAGGATGCAATATTACGCGTAAATTGAGGTTATAATTTGTGTCACTGGTATTTTTTCGCAAATGGACAACACGTGAGATAATAAACGTTTTGAGAAATGAAAAAAAAGGATTAATAGTTAGATATAATCGAATAGTCTGAATGCTGCTCTCAAATAAGAAAATGTTGATGAGAAAATATTAGAAATTTTAATGCAAATACAACCGTGCATACGTGATTTGAAATACGTGAAAATGAAATGAATCAACGAGGACTGTGCAACGCGGAACGGAGGAACCGACTATTCACATTTCCATCGTTCCATGCGTCCAACTAGTAAATGCTGGATATTATTGATGACAATGTTGTGATCGTCGTAGCCAATTATTTGGGAAATATCAAGACACTCTAAAACTAACGATTAAAACGTGATCAAGGCCATAATTCGGTCAATTAACTCATACGCTGCTCGTCCTTTGAATTGTCTGTTATTATATCCCCGAGTGAGAGAGAATAAATAGATTCTCACACGATCAAATTGGAGGCCAGCATTTCTTATTACAAGAGAGAATCTCATGAAGATGTCCCGCAAACCGTTGGACCATCTATCTCAAAAGAGAACACGGCAAAAATTTCGAGTATTATTACAAGAGGATGGCGAAAGGAATGGTGACAACAGAGTCTCAGCTGAATTGAGAATATTAAATGACCAGTAAGTAAATTCTTAAGGAGTATTTCTTCCTCTGAGTAATATGGTTTATATATTGTAAATATTAAATGTTGAATTTATTGCAAAAAGAAGTCGCATTGGATTCATGTGACCCAGTACACATATTAGGATTTCATAAATATTCGGTGTGTATGAGCGAGTCCACCACTTCTGCCTATATTTTGCTGCAAAAGTGTAGATATAGATTCAAAACAATAAGAATGAGCGCAACTGGAGCTCTCTAACTTAATTATTGGTGGAAAAGTTGAAGATTGAACAATTGAAGACTATGATTTCATTTGCTTCTACATTAAAATTTATGTAATAAACTCATCAGCGTGATAGATGAAGGCACCAACGATTTTAAAATTTCAATGCGGTCTCTTTTTAAATTTCTGGTGGAGAATTTCATTAATTTTTAACAAATTCTTTCAATACATATCACAACTTTTCCTTCAGGTCCTCTCTTAATCGCAATGTTCAACACAAAATACGGCATGAAAAAAAATAGATGTTGATTTTTGTATGCAACCTATTATGTTGAAATTGTTTCTAAGGGAATTCCACGTTAAATTATATGAATTTATCCGCCTGAAGTTTGTAATGAAAAAAGAAAAAAAATTGAAATCTGAGAAATTCATGCTGAGGAATTGATATCGAAACTATTTCAATCGACTAAGAAGGACAAATAAATTCAAATCTTTTGATGCGTTCTACAAATTATTTTTTCGAGAAAATTGATATTACAGATACGTGTGGAAAAGACGCGCCGTAGAATTCCACAAAATTTTCTAATGTACAAGAGAACTAATCAAATTTCCAAGATAAGTTCAATATATTTGTCGAACAATAGGACTACATTTTTCTATAAAATCTGTTTGTATGTTTCATCATAACAATTAGAATAATTTGACATTTATGACTTCTAATT